TCAAAACTCATAGGTTAACCACACATTGGCAACTCTATATATATAAGAAAAACCCTAAGCAATTTCCTTATTCAAATAGGAAATATAACTTATCTAGAACTTCCTAATCCTATTCCATATCTCGGTAGGATTAACTCTAGCTTGCACCTCAAGCTTTCTTTAATATCTTCAAGCTTAGATCAACAAAGACAACAAAAAATGGGAGGGGGTACATGTCAGCTTTGGCCAACTGATCAAACGAGTACATTTCTAACATCAAACTTTTGTGGCCAAAACAAAAATAAGAATTATACCCAAAATTTTTATTGATATAAATTTTTAAAATAATAATGAGCGAATAATAAATAACAGCTGGTAAAAATGGTGAACTGAAAAAGAAAGTGAATGAAGATAAATGAGCTAGTGGTACAAAGAATATATTGCTGGTGAAAAAGTGGTTGGAATCTCGTGAACTTCTTCTTGATAACAAATTTATGAAAACTTTTGTGTAAAGAAATAAAAACCCACAACGAAATAATTGAGCAGTTTTTTATTCTAATTTTGTGGTTAACAGTGTTGATCTATATTAACACTTTTAAACCAATTACTAAAACGACCCAACTTTTTTTTCCCTTTTTCAATTTATTAATTAGCAGTACCATACTACTAATTAATCTAACCGAATTAAATCAGCAATTGAGTAACTTGTTTTATGATGATGTGTAGGTGTGTTAGAAGTGTCATTAGATATTTGACTTGTTGTTTGGTTTGTTTATGTCATGTATGTGGTTGTTATCTCTTTACTTGTGTGTATAACTCGCAAATGAAAAATTCATCTTATTGAGTATTTGTGATTATATTCACGCATTTCTTTCTTATGGTGCAAGTAAATAGAAAGTGTGATCGTGGGATCGTGGCGATGACAAAAAAGATTATTTAGAGTCATCGGATGATTTATATGCTTTGTTTATTTATGTTGCAACTTTGTAATTAAAAGATGTTAGTATTTGTTGGAGTAAGGGTTCATTGTTAGATTGTTGATTGATTATTGATTTATTTAAGTTGGTTTATGTTATTTTTCCTCTAGTTGCCTATTGGTTTTTAACTTAGAATGGTTAAATAATAAGTATCAAATTATTAATTAATAAATTAAAAATATGGGTCAAGGTTATTTCAAGCGTTATTAATATTTTAATTATACACCAAGTTTAAACTAAAGTATTATTCAACTTGCCATAATTTTAAACATATTTTTTCATTTTTTGGCAATTATATAACGGGACGAATTGAAAAAAGGAAAGGTTGTTAACTACATATAAAGTTTAAAATATTATAATCTGAAACTTTTAAAAGTTTATGTAACGCTCTGACGGCCAACTCTCCAGTGGGCCCTATGTTTACCACCAGCCTATGGGCCCACCTCTTTTAATGGGCCTAACGTCCTCTCACTAGGCCCATGAGCCCATCTATATCCGATTTCTGGTTAGCTAAGTCGGGGAGGCTTACAGACTTGTTTACCGATCCTACAAATCACCACATGATCTTTCTCTGTGTTTTGGCCTCACTTACACAGTTACGACAACCACTTCCCGGAAAGTCACCAATCCTTTAACTACTCCAGCATAAGCACGTTTACCTGTGGATTTTTTCAAGACCCTTGACCGAAAGATAAGTGCACTTTGGTGACATAGGTGGCCAAATCAAATCATTTAAACCTCTTCGCAAACTGGGGTTTTCACAATTCTCCCCCACATACCGCAACATCCACGTTGCGCACCAAAACCGCCACGCTCTAATGGTGTGAGCCCACCACTCTACACTTGTCTGGGTTCGGCTCTGATACCACTAGTAACGCCCCGACCGCCATCTCTCAAGTATACACTATGTTCACCACCAGCCCATGGGCCCACCTCTTTTAATGGGCTTCACGTTTTCTCACTAGACCCATTAAAAGATGTGGGCCCATGGACTGATGGTGACCTTTCCATCTTTTTTGTTTTTTGTCAACAATAGCAAAAGAATTGACTTATAAAAGCCAATTTGAAGGACAGTTGTTCACATACAGAACATAATGCGGCGTGGTCCGGACATTCCGTGCCAGCTTATCCGCTTGGATATTAGCGCTTCATGAAATGAGAGACAAAGAAAAAGAAGAAAATTTCTTTCTGTCAATAGCTATGTCATCCAGATATACAGAGAACGCCGACCACTCAAACGGGGAAGACACCATCTCCACCAAGTCCGAACAGTCTGTAAAGAATGCAACATCTATGAAATTATGCCCGATCATACAGCGCATCGCCTACACCAAAGCTTCTACTTCAGAATGTAGAGGGGAAAGGCTCCGTCTAGAATTCCTAGCTCCCATCGATGTTGATCCATCCTCAGCGTGTTGGCAGAACCAGCCTAAGCCTGAGAACTTATCTGTCTCCTTCCAAGAGCCATCAATGAAGCATATATACCCTGCAAAATATGAAGATAATCTTTGTCTCTGGGGCCGTATCCGAGGAAAGTCCGAGGCCGGGCGCCGCTGTAGCTCCACACCTTCGACTTGGGCCTCTTGCCATGATAAGACATAAAAAATTGTAATATGCTTCCAACGGATTATATGACAGCACTTATAAGACATGACAAATTGTAAGATTTTTTTTTTCTTTTTTTTTTAAGATGGAATGGGTTTGAATTGATATTACTAAAACATTAAAATATCATTAATGTTATACTTCAATACGGATAAAATCTTCATTCACTATTTTTTTAACAACACAATATACATAATCAAACTGATTTAGTGAAAAATGATATTATGCAATCTTAATAATTATTAAACAAACACTAACAAAATCTGTAAAAAAAAAAAAAAAAAAAAACAAATCTGTAAATTTTAAACTGTCCTTGCTTGCCTATGTTTTAGCATCTGCAAACTTTATTTTGTAAATGTTTATGACTTTTCCGTGAGATGCAACTGTACAATGTTTAAGGGAGTTTATGAGGTATGTCCTCTTACTGTTATATTGTTATGTATACAACAATATGTTACATTCAATGGGCTTTCACTTGTCAGTTTTCAATAGTTCTACTACCTAGCTAAACTGTTTGTGTTCATTTAGCTACATGAAGGAGAAGGCTACATGAAGGAGAAGGTTTCAAGCATTTTTCATACATGAACTTGGATTATACACATATGTAAAATAAGAAAAAACTCTTGGCCTTTTGGGTTGAGCAATCTTCCAAATTTGAGCTTTGGAACTTGAATTATAAATTCCAATTGTATATAGTTTATGTAGTAAATTCTATATAGTTTATGTAGTTAATTATATATATTTAATGTAGTAAATTCAAATTATTAATTAGTTCATGTAGTAAATTTAAATTATTCATGTAGTAAATTTAAATTATAAATTAGTTCATGTAGTTATAAGCACAGTTAAAAGTTATGTGTATAAATACGAGAAATCAATTAAGTTTATGGAGGATTTGGCCGTTTTCCGGTTGGATTTTTTGAATTATAATGATTGATATAACCAGCAAGAGTTTATTTTAAAGACATTATATAATTTTTAATATGAAAATAAAAAATAATAACAGATAAACATTTTTCTTTTTAACAATGACTTGAGAGTTTTAAGAGCAACATTAGACCATGTCCAACGCATGGTTTTTAACATATATCTTAAAAATAAAAGACATAAAATTAAATCAATAATCAATATTAAGGTAAGATACATCTCTTATCTACCAAGTTTTGTGAAAGTTTGTTAGTGACACGTGTCACTACAAGAGAATTTTTAAAATTTTTTTTTTTTTTTTGTCCCAAACAATAATCTCTTTCATTTCCGACCAAATATTATCTTCCGACCAAAACAAAAAACTCTCCATCTCTCTCGTTTTCTGGCAACGAAACAATTTCAACGAAACCCAAAACGAGAAAGTTCCTTTTTTTAGTTTATTCATCATCAATATGTAAAGTTTGTTAGTGACACGTGTCACTACAAGAGATTTTTTTTTAATTTTCTTCTTTGTTCCCAACAATAATCTCTTTCATTTCCGACCCAAAACGAGAAAGTTCTTTTTTTTAGTTTATTCATCATCAATATGATGAGCAATCGAAGTAAAGTTCGTGATCGAACAATGCATCAACAATGGAAATCTGATTTGGTTGAGAATAGTTGGCAAAAATTTGGCAACAATTAAAATATGATTTGTACTATGTATTTTTATTATGTTTTTATATTATGTGTGTTACAATTTAATAATTTTCATGTTTTATAAAATTTTAGTTTTCAATGTTTTTTAAGAACTCCAATTAAGAATTTTACCATTGGAGTGAATAATTTTGATTATCTTCAAAAGTTTCTTATTTTGAAAATAGTACACAATATATTATTAAAAAATTACCAAAATTTTTTATTAACATACACTCATTGGAGGTGCTCTTATTGTTAGGCTCTTAGATTAGCTCTTAACAATAGTTTAGTATTAAAATTGGAAAGTTTAGATTTAAGAGATTGTATTTTTGTTTTTAATTTTTATGTGTCTTTAAAGGTAGGTTCTTAAGTTGTGGTTCTTAGAAAAAAATATTAATTTGAAAATGAAATTAAATTAACAATTTTAATTTTAGAAAACTTAATAAATTATTGCCAATTATAAAAACATATATGAGATACTACTTATAACATAAATAACATAAAACACAATAAATAAACAAAAAAAACTCCATTTATTTTTCTTCTTCCACCAATCCCGTGGCGACACGTGTCCGTCTCGTCTCTTAATTAAAAGACAGTTCTTAGCTTTTAAACCATAATTTATATTTAATTTAATACATAATTCCCCTAAGATTATCCTACCAATAATCATGGTCTAAGGGCAATCCAAAATTGGGTGTTCCAAATTTAAACACTGTAAAAATATTGTTGATCAGTCGGTAAATCTTGAAATACATTTTTGTTGTCTCAAGAGATATCCGACAGGGACTTGGAGAATTGGTTAGATTTAGATCTTAATTATACATCCGCTCATGGGTCTGCAAATTTTTGACTTGCTAGTTCAATTATATCTTTGGCTTCTCTCATGAAGTTCCAAGAAAAGACACTTTTATTCATTAATTAATTAAGAGACTGACTAATCGAGCACGAAAGCCAACAAAAAAAGAAAAGTAAAAACTAGATAATTAAGAAAGAAACAAGTAGGGAGAAAATCATCAAACTGTTGGAGGAAGCCAGTAAGGAACAGTGAGGTGGTTGGGGTTGGTGAGTTGAGTGTAGGTTTGGGTGGCGAGATGGAAGATGTAGACGCTACCGGCGTCGATAAAGTAGATTGAATTAGGGACAAGTTCCGGGTAGGTGCTTGCTTTGAGGCAGAAGAGCTCGTTCATACCAAAGAAGATACAAAGATCTCCAATGTCTTCAGTACAGGGCTCACAGCCTTTGGCTTCGTCTCTTTTATGCACTGTAAATGTCTTAATTTTGGCCACGACGCTACCTTCCCTCTTCTTGTACCCTTGGTCCTTGGCCAGCTCCCAGAATGGGATGGGTTTCCCGTCACACGAGACCTGGATAAAGCAGCGAACGACGAAGGAATCTCCCAAGGGTGACTGAACCAAGTGGTTGATGCGGATGCACCACTGTAACAACTGGTACTCGGTGTCCGAGATGTTCTTGGGCATGGTGAGAGGTCCAAGTTGGTGGTAATGAGTCAAGGGTGTTTTGCAATTCGTGTTGAATGATGGGATGGGGTCAGTGTTGGAGAATAGCTCAGTGTTGGGCGTAATGTAGATGACGGAATCTTTGTCCGAGTAGAGAACACCCGAATCTTTGAGTCTGCAGGGGAGATCCAAGTGGTGAGTCCACGATGAGACTCCTGATCTTCCTAACTGACAGAAAGAGATGGAACCTTCCCACTTGAGGGCCACCGTACACGATGAAGGAACTTCTTGGTCAGGGGGAGAGGAGAGAGACATGCCCTTAATCATCTTGTACAGAGGTCTGGTGGAGGAGCGCATGGGTTCAAGCGGAGGAAGCGAGATGACCTTGTGGGATGAAATAGCGGCCATTGGATTGAACATGTTGGTCAGGTGTACGGTTAGATCCTTGGTGTTTAGTTGACCAACCCATCCCCTTGACGACCCGATGAAGCTGGACTTGCTGAGCTTCTCTGGAATCGTTTGGTTAGGAACCCTCACTGTCTTCTTTTTAGTCGGATCATAAAAGTTTAGATTCACCAATTTGCCACCGCCGGGAGAATCTCCCATGACCTCGTACGGAAGCAACAGATATGGTGATGAAACCATCCCCTCCGACGAGAAGCCTCGAATCCCACCACCACTACATTGAGCGTTTCTGACTGATCTCGCCAACCCAATTTGCAACAACCGAGACATTTTTTTTTTACAACCTCTCTCCTTCGTCTCTCTCATTCCATGGCTAGGGATTATTTATCTTCCCCAAAGGTTTTTATTAAACCGGTCGAACCCTATTCATATTCCAATCACATTCACGGTTTAATATACTTATATATTTAAACCGATCGTCCTTTTTTATATACTTATATATATATATATATATCTAATGATGATGTGACACGCGGAATAATGGATGGAGGATACCTTTCTAATTTATTTTGAACCAACCATAGTTTTTAATAAATGTATATCAATAATTAGACAAATGGGAGAACGGCATCTCAGTGTCAAATGGTATAGTTTGTATATATTTCAGTTGGTATATGTGATGATGAAAAATTGGTATCTGCATGCATATGTTTTAACCAACCAGTTTTGAATTACACCTACCAGATCATTGTCATTCTATACCAAGGGAAGGGAAATATAGTAATTAATTGCATGTGAGAAAGTGGTATTAGCAATTTAGCATGCATGCAGTAGTTAACCAATTCGGTTCATTCGCAATATATACCATTGGAAGGACCGAGGGATAACAAAAACATTTCACAGCTTCTCCGACTTATAAAAGCAAAAAATTATCGCGTGATCTTTTTAGTTTGGGTGGACCTCGTCCTTTTCGTAATGCATACGGCGGAAAAAGAACAAAATATAGGGCCATCTTGTTTCAGCTTTGTTATAAGATTTCACATATCCTTCAAATAACACAACTGTGTCAAATACACTTGGTCGATAATTGGTTTTGAACTCTGTATCCAACAGAAGAAATTAACTACTATATATATATATATATGGAGCACAAAACTCCTACTAACAACGACACTATTTTCATAAAACATTGTTGTTGTCTCATTGACACAATAACGTAACAAGCTAGACTTGAAAAACTATGTATTTTAGCTTTATCATTACTCGAAGCAAAATCAAAGACTGAAGCTTTTCTATTCTTCTTTCACCTTAAGGTTTTACAATCTGAGTACAATAGATATTTATACTGTGACAAAACCCTAAGAGACACATGACATATGTCATCATCCATCGCGGTTTAAAGAATCAATAAGAAAAAGTTAACGCAAATTGATGTTATTAAATAATATACCAGATCAAATGATCCTTTATGTATGGTTTTAGTTGCAGCCGTCCCAACGATTTCTTCAGCAAAACTGTAAAACATCATAGTTCTTGCCTCACCAGTATGGTTCATGACATTAAGGTGAATCCAAAACCTAAAAATATGATAATGATAAAACATATAAATGTTTTATAAAATAAGTAAACTTTCATCTGAATATAATAACATTTTGTAAAAATAAACTCAATTTGGAGAGACGCTTTAACGTAATCTTTACAGATCCCACACCAGAATTTTGGTGTAGGTTTTTTATAACATCTTCCAGCTTAATCACGTCCTCCTTGATGGGCTTTTTTGTTGCATTTTTATAACAACCTGCCCCGTGGACCCACGCCACAACCCGACAACAGCTGGCGCTGCAACGCATCGACCCTAATCTCTCTCATGGCCCACAGGCCCTCCTTGGTCCACCAGATAGGTTATTGGTGTGCTTGTTGTGGTATTTGAGGGTTCTTCAAACCGAGAGGAAATGTTAACTCAATTCTACCACCCTACAAAAATGGTTTCTTTTCTTAATTTAACCTAATCGACTAAGTATTTGTAACAACCTGCCCCATGGGACCCACGCCACAAACGCTGCAACGCATCGACCCTAACCTCTCCATGTGGGCTCAATCTGGCCAACCAGCCCTCTGGCCCACCAGGTAGATTATTGGTGTGGTTGGCGTTCCTCGAACTCAAGACATCACCGTTTAACAACCTTCCCACAAGACAAGCTGTTACCAATTGATCTGCAGGTCAATTGGTAACAGCTTGTCAATCAATTAATAACAGCTTGTCCGGTGGCAAGGTTGTTAAAGGGTGAGGTCTTGAGTTCGAGGAACGGCAAGCGCACCAATAGCCTACCTGGTGGGCTAGAGAGCAGCGGGCCAGAAGGCTGCGCAAATTAGGCCCACATGAGAGAGGTTATGGTCGATGCGCTGCAGCGCCAGCAGTTGACATGTGGCGGAGTGTGTCACATGGCAGAGGGTCCCATGGGGCGGGATGTTACAATTGTTTACATACATAATAGAACCAATAATAGTCGGTATCATTTTATGTAACCGTACAAAGAGTACGACACGATCCTACCTAAATCTTGTAAATAGAAATATGATTAGAATGCATTATAAGATACAACATCTGATGAATTGTAACACGTAAATATGAATAAACCTCAGTTGCTTGAAGTAGTTCCTCAAAAGTCATGATAGGATACTCATCCATGTCTTCTTTTATAGTACGCCCAAAGAAAACACTTGTCTGTAAATTACTCACGCCTGTCAATTGCGAATCATCACTGGTAAGGCTGTTTACATAATATACAAAATTAAGTGATATTAGTTATAACATTTATTGAGTAGAGATTTATTAATCTCAATTTTACAAAAAAAATACATTTTCTTAATGTCTTCAAACATCAGTATGACCATATTAGTAAGCAATTGTGATGAGTCATAAGAATTAGAAATACTCCAAACATCTGAATTAGTGAATAAATATATATGATTGTAATTGCGAAAGTCTTATAGTCTATATACAGATTTCTATTTTAATGTAAAAAATTATGTCACGTAAATAGTTATGATACCGTTGAAAGCATTGACTTTGGCAAATTGTATCAAACAAAATACAATACCATTTGTCGTTTCTTGACATGTTTGACTTAGTGATTCAGCAAATTTTTCTCAAAGTGTCAAAACACCCGAATATCCCTAGTATAACGAATGATTAATAATTGAAAATAATAGAAATAGTCCTACCAAGTATTTTCTTGAATTGGAAATTTAAACTTGAAAAATTAGTAAGCTTACTCGTTGTTTTTCAAGTGAAAGCTGATCTTCTTGGTAGGCTTAGTAGATGTAGGGATATCTTAAATTTCACCACAATCATCGACTTGGCCCATAAAATCTGCAATTTTAAAATTGCATTAAATTAGTTATAGATGAAGGTAAACATGAAATTTAGTTTAAAACTAATAAAAACATAACTAACCAAATAAATAACTATTGTTTTGTTTCCCAGCAAGAACGTCATCGTAACTGGCCAATTGAAGAAAAATATCGTCATAAATGTTTTCAGAAGCGGTCACAATTGTTTTCGACATGAAACCAAATCTTAAACTTTCTATCCGATATTTTCAATTCAATATAGAAAGGAATTAAACCAAAAATAGAATTAATGATCCAAGAATTTGTGACTAAAAATTTTTCAAATTTTTTTATATTCTCCTTTTTGACGTTAGCAACAATTTTATGACCCTAACAAAAATTAAAAGAGAAGAAATTTTAGTATCAAACTTAGCAAATTAAATATATTATTTATACCATTTTGTTAAAAACTAACTTACATAAATGTCGACCAAAAACATTTCGATTGTTTCACCGATTTTGATGGAATACAGCTTCCAAATATGCAAAACCTTCACTTGAATACGCCAATTAACTTTGTAAGGTTTTAGCGCATTATGAGAAGTGGTGGGGAGTATAGAGGCTAACATTTTTTGATTCTCTCTTTTTTTATTTAGTCGTTTAGTTAAGATAGGGAAAAATAAAAAATGGTTTATTTATAGTCTAAAGGTAGCGTGATTGAAATTTAGGTTAGGGAATATTTGCAATCCCTTAAGAATACGGAATTTCATTTTGGATTATTACTAATATATTTAAATAAAGAAATACAATATACTTGCTTACAAAGTTTGTTATTTTTTAGGGAAAAAATATAGAATCATATATTGTGCTCATCAATGATAGGATAGTTATGGTATCCTCTTCCTTGATTTAAGATCTTAGTATTCGTTATCAATTTTTATTAATTAAAACGAACAAAACTTGGAATCTAAAAGGAAATATTCACAACCGAAGATTATGGTGGAAATAATGGTTGCCTAAATATTGAGAAAAAATACGATTTTTCCGATTAAAAGCTTCCAAAGTAATGATGTGATAGAGGCCTATATTTGTAAAATTGATAATTAGGCCCAATCTATCGTATGGGTTACCGAAAAAATCAAACGGTGATGATTAGAAGCTTCTACTTATAAAAGAATGGCTAAGATTATAACATATAATTTTTGGGTTTCATTAGCGGGTCAAAAGATCAGCGCGTTTATCCGGTAAATGAGTTGTTGGTGTAACAACCCGCCCAGTGGGATTCCGCCACATGGCACACCCCGCCACATGGCAACTTTACAGCGCTGCAGCGCATCGACCATAACCTCTCTCCTGTGGGCCCAAACTGCGCAGCCCACTGCTCCCAGCCTCCTGGCTAGCCCTGGGCAAAATATTCGTTAAATTCGCTTCGCTTCGATATTCGTTTCGATTCGATTCGAAAAATTCAAATATCTATAAGATATTGAACCGAAGCAAATATGAAAATGTATTATTCGTAAAAACCAAAGCAAATAACAAATATTGATTTTTTTGTCGAATATCCGCTTCGCTTCGTATATTTATATATGTATGAATATAAATCATTATATAATATATATAATATGTGTATTTATAGATTTGGGTATATATCTGATAGGTCTATTATTCAAATTATTATATTTTGGCCCGTTGGGCTTTTTGCTAAATGTTGATATAAAGCGAATAAAACTTTATTAGAAAAATCAATATTAAAAATGAAATGTGAGAATTCTTGGACGGTGGTTACATTTCCTTCTTATTTTGAAAACATGTAAAACAAGAATATCTAATATCTCATATTTTGCACTTTATATTTATGTACTATATGTTTTTAGTTTAAAAAAACAAATCAGATGGATCGAAGCGAAGCGAAACAAGTAATTCGCAAAAATTACAAAAAATATTCGAATATTCGAAAATATACGAATCAAAGAAAATACCAAAATCAACTATTCGGTCGAGGCGAAGCAAATCACAAATATTACAAATTTTTCGTATATTCGCTTCGTGCCCAGGGCTACTTCTGGCCCACCAGTTAGGTTATTGTTGCGGCTGGCGTTTCTCGAACCCAGGTCCTCACCGAATTGGTGGGTTATGAATGCATTGGGCCAGGAGAGTGCCTACACAGATCAATTGGTAACAGGTTGTCCTGTGGCAAGGTTGTTAAAAGGTGAGGAAATGGGTTCGAGGAACGCCAGACGCACCAATAACCTACCTGGTGGGCCAGGAGTGCATGTGTGCCAAGAGAGTGCATACATGCGCAGTTTGGGCCCACATGAGAGAAGTTAGGATCGATGCGCTTGTAGCTGGCATGTGATGGAGTGTGCCATGTGGCAGGGGTTCCCACCGGGATGGTTTGTTATAGTTGGCAACAGGTTTACGATTATTATACTATAGTTTTCATTATAAAATATTTAAATTATTCTGTTTGGCAACAAGATTAAATTGATTTTCTCTTACTAGTAGCAATTTTCTCTACTTGATTAGGTGCATATATTATTAAATTTTCTTTGGTGCATCTATTATTAATTTTTTTAGGTGCATATGTATATGTTGAAAACTTTGAACGTTGTCAAATTGCTTGTATGAATTGACTCAAGTTTAACTGAGCATAAATTATATTTTGGTACAAGACAAAGAAAAATTAGTTTTTTTTTTTTGGTAGGAACAAAGAAAAATTAGTTTAGTATGTGGGAAATAAAAATTTGAAAAAAATAGATAAAATTTGATAACTATTATATATACACCTTATCTGAATTTCAACTTTTGTTCATTCATTTACATTGTTTTTTCTTTTAAATTTGCTTTTCAATTTTTAAAGATTAGAAAGAAACACATGCATTCTTTTACGTTGTTTTCATATATATATATATGCATTTCACCTTCATGAATTGCACCTGGATCATATTAAGAAAAACGGTGGATGTTAACCTTAATTAGTCTATATATCCATTTTATTTTGCACCGAATGTATCACCATGTTAACCTTAATTATTCATCCCAACCGCTAAAAATATGTTTTAAGAAAGATTTAAGATATGTTTTAAGAAAGATACAAGATATGTTTTCTTCACATCTTGTCTTAATTCTATTCTTTCACAAACCCAACAATATTATGCAATTAAGCCTTTAAGCAAAATCTAATTTTCTTTGGCTGTTGAAAACGAGAGAGTCTCAAATTCTCATGGCTACTTCTTGGAGTGTCTCTCGGCAAAGTTTTTTAGCCTGGCAAATCCTTCTATGAGGAGCTTGAGCTCAACTGCAAAGTTGATACGTAGCCAGTTACTAAGCCCAACAGCTCTACCTACAAGAACCGCATCGATAATCTATTAATTAGTAATTAAAACTTTCAAGAAAGCTCATTAAGAAAACTATATTATTACCTGGTAGGATGATCATGGATTCCTCTTTAGCCAGCTTGGAGCAGAAGTCCAAATCATCACTGATATCTTCGAGAAGCGAAAGGTTTAACTTCACCTGCACCAACCAAATGGATTAGCCTATGAGCTTCTTCTACTTGATCTTGACATATTGATTCTTATTAATTCATTACCATCGTGAACATTGACCCCTCGGGTTTGCAAGGGCATGTAATGCAAGGGATCTTCATCAACTCCTCATAACAAAACTCTGCGCATTTTTTCACCATTTCGAGTTTTGATGAGAAAAATTCTTCCTTTGTATTCCCAATGATATCAGGCATTGCACCCTGGCTCGGACGAAAGAGTAAAATATCATTAATCTTGACAGAAACATTATGTGTTATATCATCCATGATTCAACACCAATGCATAGATCCATCAACATACCTGAACGAACGTTGCAGCATCCGTCGACATGTTGAGGACACTGGTAAGAGTCTGAGAAAACTAATAGATAAAGAAACAAAGATTGATTCAAGATGGTTATAAATTAAGTCATTAAAATGTAACTCAATTGTTAAGAAACAAACCCCAGAATCTTTCATGATGCCATGAGGGTCAAGAGTCACCATCCAGCCAAGTCTCCAGCCAGGAACAAACCATCTTTTTGATATGGCACCTAACATTATTACCGGCACTATCTCTGCAAACTCCGCCATGGACACAAATGGTTTGTCCCCAAAGGCAAAATGGTCATAGACTTCGTCTGCTATCACAAGAATTCCAAGCTTGGAAGCCGTCTCTGCAATCTTCATTCACCATATAAACAACAAAAAGACATTTCCATAACAAAGTCAGAAAAGTGCAGCCAACGTTGATGCTACAACCTAGAACAAAAGTATGCAACTCCATCACAATGACTAATATGAAGCAAAGTGTAAACCTTTTGAAGATGTTGGTAAGAGAAAACGTTTCCACAAGGATTGCATGGGTTGATAACAACAATAGCCACGGTTTTGTCATCAGCAAGAGCTTGAACTCCATCAAGATCAACATCCCAACCATTTTCTGGTAGGAGGTCAAAATAACGAACCTCTAGTTGGCAGAGCGCTGCTCGGGAATCATACATCGGGTAACTAGGCCTAGGCAGCAGGATGTTGGCTCCTGGAGTTGCGAGCGCGGATACCAAAATCTCAACGGCTTGCAAACAACCAACTGTGATATGAACATCATTTGGTGATATCTCGTAAGAAAGATCGCGAGAGAGGTACTCCGCAACAGCCCTATTGAACAAGGTGGAAATAGAAACAACCAAATCATCAAATTGGTTTAGTTAAGTTTATACATATTACACAGAGACTAGTAAGCAATAAGCAAGAACAGAGTAATCTTACTTCCTAGCGACAGGAATACCAGAAGAAGAAGAGTAGTTGTTAAACTTGGTCGAGCGGACAGCATCGCAGATAGCTTCAACAGCTGCTTGGTCGGTACGAAAGCTAGGGAACGGAGAAGGGTCGCCGTGTCCGAGGGGGATGACAGGTCTCTTGTCTTGACCGTCGAGGTTACTCATTAAGTTGTTAAGATAATCACGAATGCCAAGCGAGCTAGATCGTTCGACTACCTCGTTAGCTCCAAAGTTCCATTGCTTGGCTCCGTTGTTATCGCCCATTTTTTTTTCCTTTTTTTTTTGTTGAGCAGAAACGAGCTTAGAACTGAAACTGACGATTTTGTGAGTGGTCTTAAACCATTTATTTTGGCATGAGTGAAAACGCCAAATATTCGTCATTTAAGGATTTAAGGTTATGTCTTTACGTTTTTATTTTATTTTTGTCCGCAGTTATGTCTTTACTTGCAAGACAAAATTTGGAGTGTAGGCAACGGTACAAAGATGATATTTATGTGGATAGATTTAAAAGCGCACAATAAAGCAGGTTTTGTGTGGGCTAAAGTTGAATTGAAAACACATAAAAATATTAGTTTATAATTATAAATATGTTTTTGATTTTTTATGTATTCAATGTAATAAATAAGGGGAAAAAGCTTAAAAATACCTTATCTATTTTTTATTTGTGCGTTTAATACCTGATCTTTCTGGGTTGGAAGAATAATACTCAAAATAATAAAAACGTGCAATTTAATATTTAAAATATTAAATATTGTCATTTCCCTACCTACGATTTCTCAACAAAAATATATTTCAATTTTACCCATATTCACTTCTATTTTTAAATCACAAACGACATCATTTTGCCTTAAACGAAAATACCTAAATCCCCAAATCGAGGTCGCTTGTCCTTGTAATTCTCATTTTTTTTACTTAACAGAGATTAATTAACGATCGTAAACGGTTGTTAACTCTTCTGTTAGAGGATTTGATTTGACAACATGCTCAGTCTGACTCAGTCTACAAAAGATAGTGATTTAATCCCTATTATAGTAAAACAAAAATACAAATGCATTTCCGGGTCGGGTCAAAAAACAGAAAAATAACCCGAAATTATGATGATAAATACTTAATTTTTAGACTAAAATTCAGATATGGACATAAATTATTAAATTCCGAAAACATTAACATCATTATTTTTTTTTAAAAATCAGTTACTAAAAATTCCCTTTATTTAGGAAACTATAATAATGATACATGCATATTTTAGAAATCTAAATTAACTGTGAATATTTAAATATAAATGGTGAATATCAATTGCACATTTAAGGAGATTATTACGTTTCTGTCACCTAAAAAAGATCTTAGTCTTTAAATAATATTCTAATTACCAAATAATTTTGTAATCTTTGATATAATGGTTAATCATTTGGAAAGATGATTAAATACCCACCCAAAATATTAAAGTTTCCAAATATTAAAGGCTACGATTTAATTATATATTTTAAAATGAAAATATAAATATTTCAAATATATAAATTTCCAAAGAACACAATTATTAATTGTAAAGTTTTAATAAAAATTAGTATTTAAAATAGCTTCCGAAAACTTTTATTTGAAAACTATATTTTTGGAAATAATAATGACAAATTTTATTTAGAAATAGCATTTATATAAAGAGATCTCAGTGTTAGAAAATATTCTAATAATCAAAACAATACAATATTGGTTTAGTTTTCTGATTATTTATTTTCGGAGATCTAATTAAATTTTATGATTCTAACAAACAATATCTAAGTGTGAAGATTAATTACCAAATAAATATACAAATATATATATATATAACAAGAATAAAATATATGAAAATAATATATTCATTTATTATTTTATACTCCTTATATACACCATTTAAATGAATAACAAAAAAATAAAAATTATTTATAGTAAATGAAATATTATTTCTACTTTTGGAAATATTATAAATATTTTGATTTTTTGAATTTTACTAAACATGTGAAAATAAATTAATAAGTAATTCCGTAATTTATGTTTTATAATGGCAAAGTATATGTCAATATTACTCATTTGAATATCAATAAATTTAAAATTTAATAATAAGTAATATATATTCATAAGGTAATCATAGTAAAATATGTTTACATGATATATTCCATCACATAAAATTTCTATAAGACTCCCAAATTAATTTTTTTATAATAAATGCTTATGAAATTCAATTCAACAAATAACTTAATCCTAACGATATTTTCCGATTTTTAAAAAAAGGAAATCAACTTAAATTCGAAGACAATAATCTCTATAAATACTGTTATTCATCTACCCAATTCATCTTATCATTATTTTAAAATAATGGATCATTGCATATCCAAATTCTCTCTTCCTAATTTTTTATTAACATGGTTCATCTATATCATAAAGTTTATCATTTGCATTTTTGTTATTTTAGAATTTGCACGTGAATGATTTATTATTCTTATTTTTTGGTATATATTGGTGTTTCTAACTACTTTCATTTGATAATGTTTTTTCAAATATTATGCATTTATGTCGATGATATTTTTAGTAATACACGGCTGGTTTGTAAACTCACAATCATATAGTCAAACGGGTTATGATTAATATTTTTTTTAAAACATTTTTTACGAGTTGTTCTGTTAAAACATACAATATAAACATGTTTTCATATACTCATTTTTTCTTTTATAATAACTTTTAATTATATATTAGATAAATATTTTCCCCTGTGCTGTAGCGCGGGTCCGATTCTAGTAATAACGTCAACGAGAAGTCTATGATTTTAGTGGCCACAGTAACAATAAAGGATTAAAATGGCCAAAATTTGAAAGTTCGGGATTTAAATAACATTTTTCACGTTATACTTATGTAAAAATTTACAAATTAAAAAGATAAAATTATTAGTGAATTTGTCCGCTACATGTAATAATTGTGTATGATCAAATCTAATCGTCGCACGTATTTTCGACTGTTGTAACCATCGTAACTTTTTTTTTAAAGGCTTTTTATTGAAAAAGGCCCCTTAATGGGCTGGGCTTTGGCCTTATAATAAAAAACAAAGGAAAACAAATTAGAGGGTTAATCGTTGCCGGAAAAGAGGCTCTGGACATATTGACACTGTGTCGCAGAAGATCCAGCCATTAAATCCGGCGGAAGCGAGATCTACGGCTTTGTGACGGACCGAGTTATCTAGGCAACGGAGAGGAAGCGACCGTCTCCTGATTCCGTTTCTTTTCCCCCGGCCAACCAACCCACTACAAATCTCCCGGAAAAGCCCACCCTCCGACGACTCAGCACGTTGTAGTCAGCTCCTGACCAAGCGAACCGACTACTTCCAAACTAACCCCTCCTTCCCTGCTCTGGCAACCATCCAATCACCGGACCAAACTCCTTTTAACCGGCCATGGGGAAGCAAGTCGCGGTGATGATCGGAAGCTCAAACAAAATCAATCCATGACGGCCATCAAGATCCCGACGGATCTACCGTTAACCACCATGACGATTTGACCTAACCCACCTTCTCTCCCGCCGACTTCCGCCATGGCTGCACAACCGACCAATTGGGTGAGCCACGAACCACCTTTGCTACCCCTAACCAGCGTCTTCAAACCGGTGGAGTTTCAGCAAAAGTCTTCTACCAAATCGCCGGATCTAAAACCACATCGAGAGGAGAGGAACCCACCGCTGTCGACCGAGAAGAAGTCTGGTCCGCCTCTGCTTCTCAAGGTAGAACCAAAGGAATCACGATCAAAGCCACTAAGAACAGATCTGAATCAAAGATTGAACTAGAAGAGAGAGAAAGAGCTTTTCGCCTAGATTTTTCTTGGTTACCAATAACTTTAATTGTGGATTTGTGGTCATGCCTAATAATAATCATGGAAATGATCTGTACGTGTACTCGTGTAGACGAAAGTCATAACTGAACTCCAAATGGAAAATGTTAACAAAGTATCATTGACGAATGCATGTGATATTAGTATTTTTTTAATTTCATTTATTTGTGTTTACGATAAAACTAAAATTAAAATTTTCTCCTATATCAAAGAAACAAAAAAACTGAATTTTATAGAGTTTAAGAAACGGGAAAAAGCCTAAAAAATACCCTATCTAATTTTTATTTGGAAGATTAACACCTGGTTTTTTTGCTTGGAATTTTAATAGTTTGTCTAATTTTGAGTGTCATTTAGAGGTCGATTCGTAACGACTGTTACTTGTGGCTGTATAGACTTTAACTTTAAAATTTTGGATGCAGAGAATTTAGCTGTAGATGCTTATGCTGTAAAAACTTTTAATTTTAAAATCTGATTGTAATGAACAACTTTTAAAGTTATGCATGTTATTTTTATTTTTATTATTTTATATTCATAATAAATATAATTTATATTATAAATGACTTTATAAAATAAAAGTATTATTGAAATGGATCTTAAAAGAACAAGAAAAAAATGAGAGTAATTAATTTATAAAATAAAATATATTTATAAATTTGTGAAAAGATTTTAAATGTAATGGGGATATGAAAAATAAATCTTTTTAATTGATTAAATTTAAAGCCAGGTTTTTGACGATTTGAAAAAAATGAGAAAACAAAAAGAAGGAAAAAAAAGAAGTGACTTTTAATACTTTAAAAAAAAAGCAAAAAATGTTGATTGGCAAATTAATTATTGTTAAGGATTTAAAACTATTTTAAAGCCTTAAAAGTCATCACCAATCGCCCTCTTAAATACCTGAAATATATCTGTGTTGGCTCTTTAGCACTCCGTGATTAACCTCCGTTTACTCTCTTAACGGAATGACTAACTCGGGTTAAAAACTAACCCCACATTTTTAATTAAGCCTAACTGAAGACACTATTGTCCTTAGGCATTTCCCTCAAATCGAAAGAACCCTAAATCACATCCCCCCAAATCGACCCTATTTCGATCTTCTTCTTCTTCTTCTTCTCTTCATCTTCTCAATCGATATCTGGGCACTGTAACGAATCGATGATTATGGGTGTTTGATTACTTGCGGATTGGTTGTTTCGTTGTTAGATTGCAAGTGAAGAGATGAGGTACGCATTCGTCGATTCAATTTTTCAAATTTTAGGGTTTTTGAGTTTTCTGGGTTGTGGATATTTCGATTTCTGTTGAAATCGAACAACTCTAGGGAAATTTACATCTCTAATCTGTTAATTTTGTTGTTGTGCAGTGCTTTCGAAGATCTCAAACTCAATATTCACTTCAGAGGAGATGTCGTGGTGAAGGACAGTTTGTTGGTCTACATTGGAGGAGTGGAGGAGAAAGATATGTTGATTGATCCAGACCTAATGACATGGTCAATCTTCCAAGAATCCTGCACAAAGAATGATGTATCAGGTGTAGTTGAGCAAGTGTGGTATAAGCTTGCACATGAAGACATAGCTTCAGCAACGCTTATCGATGAAGACAAAGATGAAGGGATCAGACAATTCTGCAGTGAAGTGGGGAAGTGGGGAAGTCGATGTATACATCCAGCAAGGAACGAATGAACCTGAACCATTTCCTTTGTCTTAATCTGTTGAAGAAGCTGTAGAGTGCGATAAGGATGGGGATGAGGAAGATAAAACTGATGAGCCTCCTGAATAAGAACAGAGAGCACAAGATCATGGAGTTGATCTGGTAGAAGAAGTAACATACAAGATGAAGATTATGTTCAAGACAATAACCAATCTGGGGAAGAAGCAAGATGTTAAGCGGAAACAGAGGCTGAAGCAGAGAACATTGCTAGTGAAGCTGAAGAGGATGCAAAATTTGAGAAGCATTGTGAGGATGCTGAACGTCCTTATCCTGCTATGGACACAGACGAAGAATGGGACACTTTTGAACGCCATGAAAGGGAGATCTCAAGAGCTAACTACACAAAGGATAAGCCACCTTACCTGTGGCTAAAAACATGTTTTTCACAATGGAGAGGATTTCAAAGATAAATTTCTGAGGTATGTCTTGAAGATGAACTATGATATCAAGTTGTGTAAATGGGGAACTACACCACAACTTGCAGCCATTTGCAGTCATGAGAAATGTCCATGGAAGATACACTGTTCTGTTGAGAAGCGCATAGGAAAATGGTTAGTGAAGACATTGGTTGATGTTCATAATCATTCGGTTAGTGGTAAAGCTAGGATGCTGAAACAGAATGTGATTGGAAGGTTGTTCAGAGATGAAGCTAGAAGAAGACCATCTTTGAGATGAACAGACATCAAGAATGAAATAATGATGAGGTATACCATTAATGTGTCTAAGTGGATATGCCAAAAAGCAAGAAGAATAGCCTTTGATTTGGTCATAGAAACGCAAAGACAACAGTTTGCAAAGCTTTGGGACTATGAGGGTGAACTACAGAGGTCTAACAAGGAGGTACACACTGAGATTCTGACCATTCCTCAAGCTACTGGTAAGCAGCAATTTGATAAGTTCTATATCTGTTTTGAGCAACTAAGAAGTACTTGGAAGAGATGTTGTCGCCATATTATTGGATTAGATGGGGCATTTCTTAAATGGGAATTGAAGGGTGAAATTCTAGCTGCTATTGGCAGGGATGCAGACAACATAATATATCCTATTGCTTGGGCAATAGTTAGAGTAGAGGACAATGAATCATGGGCTTGGTTCGTTGAGAAGTTGAAGTCTGATTTAGATTTGGGTATAGGAGATGATCTGACTATTATGTCTGATAAGTAGAAAGGCTTAATAAACGCTGTTGGTGATCTACTTCCAAAGGCTGAACATATACATTGTGCTCGGCACATATATGTGAATTGGAAGATGGTACATGGTGATTATGCTCATGAAAGTTTCTTTTAGGCCATTGCATACAGTGCAACTGAAGGGGATTACTTGTATTTGTATAACATGAAAGCTTTGACTGGATATGATCCACTTGCTGCTGAAGATCTGGTTAGAACAGATCCTAAGACATGGTGTAGAGCCTTCTTCTCTTACCATTCAAGTTGTGAGGATGTTTGCAACAACCTATCTGAGAGTTTTAACAGAACAATTAAGGAAGCAAGGAAGTTACCACTCATCAACATGCTTAATTTCAGTGAAGCGTATATGTAAGCTGGATGCGAAGACCAAGAAGTGTACTGGTAGATTCCCACCAAAGGTAATGGATATACTAGAAGCCAACAGACGATCGTCCAAGTTTTGTTCAGTCCTGAAAAGTGGTGAGCACAAATATAAAGTCTTAGAGGGTAGTGGAAGTTTTAATGTCAATCTCCTTTTAAGAGAGTGTGCTTGCAATCAGTGGAAGCTGACAGGCATACCTTTTCCACATGTTATTTATGTCATTACAGAACATAACCGAGATGCAGAAGAGTAAGTCTTTTTTATCATTAACTCACTCTCTTATACAATTGAAATGTTAATGACGAATTACTTGTTTTGCTTTGTAGCTATGTTGATAGACATTTAGAGACGAATGTGTGGCAAGACACTTACCAGCATATCATAGATCCTGTGAATGGGGAAAGATTGTGAAGGAGAAGAGGTAAAGGGACAATTGAAGTGCCAGACAAGAGGAAGAAAAGAGGGCGTCCAAAGAAGTTTGATAGGATCAAGGAGCCAGGTGGATCATCAAAAAATCCACCAAAGCTTGCTCGTGAAGGTAAAATCTGTCACTTGTAGTAATTGTAAGCAGATGGGACACAACAAAGGAACCTAAAAAAATCAAGCTGTACAATTACCTGCTCCACGCAAGAGAAGGAGACCAAGGAAGAATCCACTAAGTTATATGACCCTCTATTTTGCGTTTGATATGAGTTCAAAATGCATGGCTATAACATGCGATTTCTAGGAGAATGATAATCCATGGAGCATACACAATGCACGAGGAGGTGGAATAATGCTCAAAGCCAAGCCACACCATCTGTTTCTCAAACCCAAACAACACAGCTTCCTCAACATTCAAGTGCTCCAGCAAACACAAGTGCTCCAGCTAACAAACGCAAACGTGGACGTCCTCTTGGCAAGAAATATGGGCCGAGCAAGAAAAAGGACAAGGGTGATGAAGCTCCTAAACCTCCTGTATTTTTTATGTCACCTTTTAGTGAGAAGGTCTTTGATGTTTGGCAGCCTGAGAAGAAGTACATGGAAGAAGAATGTATGTTTTCTGTTTGGTTATTAACTATGTAGGATGTATGTTCTCTTTGTTTTTGGTTGGATCTTTTTAATTTTTTGGGATGTCAGATCTGAACCTTTATTTCAATGTAGGATGGTCTCTTTGTTTTGGTTCGATCTTTGTAATTTTTTGGGATGTCAGATCCGAACCTTATAACTACTCTTTCGGATTAATGGAAATTTTTTTTCATTTCAAGCTCATTGTTACAGAACAACAAACAAACAAGTTCATCTCACAACATTCAAACCATCCGTAATATAATCTACTACTTCCCAATTACAAGAATCATTGCAATGACAACAATGAAACCTTCCCAAGATAACAAGATGAATTGCCTAAGCATTTTTCCCTTTCATTAGCTACCATAACTTCACTTTGAAGCTTGTTCTTCTCATCCTCATGTTTCTTCACTAACTCACATGAGACATTGTTGGAACCACTCCCAATTTGTTCATTCTTTGCCCTTAGAGATTCTTTTAGTACCTTGATCTCCTCCCTTGCCTCTAGTAAGCTAACCTTCTGCCAACCGTTTGGCTTTTCTTCATGTGCCCAATTAATAAACCCATGAACAACGCACCTGAAAAATCTTCTACCTGGATTCTCATTTGTCCATGACTTTGCAACCGTCGTTACTCTACCGCAATTGTAATGAGGACCCCAGCTCCGACTCAAATTCGCATCAGAACAAGAACTATGGCTCATCATTCTATCAATCTACCCAGAACGTTAAGAATGAGCTTTAAGTTTCTTCTTCTATTCTAATAAATCGATGGGCATTAGTGTCATTAGTTTAGGTTAATTAAACACGTGGGGTTAAATTCTAACCCGAGTTAGTCATTCCGTTAAGAGAGTAAACAGAAGTTAACCACGTAGTGCTAAAGAGCCAACACAGATATATTTCAGGTATTTAAATGACACTCAAAATTAGACAAAGTATTAAAATTCCAAGCAAAAAGACCAGGTACTAATCTTCCAAATAAAAATTAGATGGGGTATTTTTAGGCTCTTCTATTTTTAAGAAACACTAAATTTTCTAGATTTTAAGTGGGATACCATAAAATATTAGAATATTTTAAGCAGAAAAATAAATAATTGATGACATCCTTTAACCAAATATATAGTCAAAATTACCAAATAATATTAAAACAAATATATTTCTATGGAAGATCTTTTATTGATATATATATATATATATATATATATATATATAATCAATCCTCAGTAACTCTACCAAAATATCAAAAACCTCAAGGTAATTAAAATTATAAATATATTAAATTTCATAGCTGTTGATTTAAATCATTTTTATGAAGAAGACAAACAGTGAAGAAGTTTGAACAATCTCTCAAATATATTTTACTACGAATGTTTTAATATACCGAAATTTATTGCTTGTGTTTTTGTTAGAAGTTTATACCAAAAATTCTTCTTATATTGATTTTAATCTTTATGTTACAGCAGTTTTTTTTTTTGTGAGACTTGTTGCATCCTCTAGAAACAAAAATAATGGCAATCACGAAGTTTTCATCTCTTCTATTAAATTCAATGACGGTTTTTACTCTCATCCTTATGCCCATCATTTCAGGTAACATATTCATTTTCCAATCGTTAAATTTTCTTAATTAAGAAAAATATAATTTTTAATTAATTTCAAAAAATAATATCCGAGATTTTTATTATTGGCAAGTCGAAATAACTATATGAAAAAGGTGTTTTAATTTTCAGTTTACATAATGGATTATTAATTTATTACAATTATACTAATGTATATGTTTATAAATCAAATAGGCCAAACATGTCATTTATATGATAGAACTTGTATTCCAGAGGTGAGGTGGCTAGGTGCATCGAAATGTAATGCATCATGTAACTCTTTGGGTAGGAAAGAAGGATATTGTAGACAATTGTATGGTATTGATCTTTGTTGTTGCAGCTTTCTTTATGAATCTTTACATTCTACTATGTCTAATCCTCCAAATAAGTAATTAACTTATAATTTAATTTGTACTCTCACAAAATTATATGAATTAACTTATAATTTAAAATTGTACTCTCTCAAAATTATATTTTGTCCAATATATAGATATATTTTTTAAAACCTATTAGTATGGACACCTGAAACTATCAAACAATTTCAGTCACATAAATAGTGTGAGAATGGAGATCATATTTACTACAATCCCATATATAGATCTTTACATGTAATTAAACAAATTTAGACAGAATTTATACAATAATATCAAATAAGTTACACCATTTATGTTATAGAAACATTAAAAATGTAGCTAAAGTAATATTTTTACAATAAAGACAAGATTCAAATAATAATATAGGTTTTTAGTGTAGAATAATTTATTCTAATGTGTAGAATCATTATTAAAATATTTTACTTAAAATTGACATTTTAGAATTTTTTGTAATTTTGTTGCGTAAATATTTGATGTGCATTACTTAATCCACATTCACCATTCTAATATACATTTTTTTTGCTAACCACACATTAGTTAATTGTCTCGCAGTGTAAGTCCTAAAATTAACAATTAACATACAGTTACCCAATCAAAAAAAGTAAACAAAACAAACAAAATTTATAAATATAACTTAAATATAAACTTTTTAGTTAAAAAATATAATTTTGCGGTTAAAAGAAACGATTTAGCCATCTGTGTTACTAAAATGTGCTTAACTTTTTAGTCACTTTCTAGTCAATCATCACGAGAAAACTCCACAATTAAGTGTAGTTATGCTAGAATACTTTCAGACTATGTGACATTTTGGGAAGTGGATAACCTTCCGGGAAATGATTGGTGAATCCTTCAAAAATAGTGGCATATTGAGCCTGGAGACGAGAACTGAAACTTGGTCAGTCCAAACTCATGAATAACAAGTCTGTAAAACTTTTCCACATCCTAAACGATGAAATTTGACCATGAGATGATTGAGTCCGTTGAAGGATCATCCACTGCTCTACACAGAACCGCAGCAACATAATGGTGATTTTTCAACAGAGGATGAACCATACCTAAACGAATTCAGATCAAAACCTCTTCAAGAATTGAGATCGGACCTAGTGGTTGATGTTTCATGGAATCCTGAAAACCTAACAGAAGAAGTCTTTTTCTTCACGAATCATGGTTATATATATAAAGATGTTTTGGTGGGCTTAAACGTCCATAGCTCGGCCCATATCTGCCAAATTTTATAAGCCGTCATTACAAAATTTTGCCCACAAAAACCTATTCAAGTACACCATTAGGATAGGCCTGGAGATCCGGGTAGTCAGTCGGGTTTAGGTAAGAACCGTTTGGGTTCGAGTTTTCCAGGTAGAGGAGTTTAAACGTAATAGGGTAAATGTAAAAATTTGTTTCAGGTTCGGTTTGGATCCTTTCGGGTTTGAGTTGGATCGGATATAGATTTTTATAACCGCCAAAATCCCAATTATTTCTGGGTACATAGAAACCCGAGATTTTACCCAAACATCCAGACATCCTTAGGTAAATATATGATTTTTTGGATAATTACCCAAATTTTCTACTAAATACCCCGGGTTTTCATGTAAAAATTCGGGCAGCCAAGTAAATAATTTGGATATTCAGTGTAACGCCCGTGTTCCGGTTTGGGTGGTGTCGATCAACACCACTGAAGGGTGTCGCTCGACACCAGCATGTTTCGGTTTGGTCGGGTCGATTTTAATTGCGAAATTGTATGGTTATTGGGTTGGTTAACCCTAGATCGTGTTTAAAAGAGGGAAAGGTCGTGTTTTGTTTCTTGGCAGCCGCTTTTTAACACTTCCAGAGAGAGTGAAAAGTTCCAGAGTTTTCTGAGGGTTTTTGTGAGTCTTTTGGTGGTGTTTGGTGGCTGATATTGGTGGTTTAAGGCTAGTAGAGGCTAGATCCATGCTGTGTGGTGTTAGAGGAGGCAGATCCTTCCTTGTTCTTCCCTTTTTCGTTGCTGTTCTTTCTTGTAAAATGTGAGTGCATGACCAAGGCTTATCTAAACATGTTTAATCATTGTTTTGGGTGTTTTGATGATTGTTTGATTGATTTCTTTACTTGTTTGGCTGTTTATATGATGAATGATGCCTGTGTAACCCCTTGGAGAACCACTCATATCATGGTGATGAATTGGAGGGGAGATCCGGCGAGAACCGTTAGCTGGAGCGACTGTAAAACGTTGGTGTCGATCGACACCAGTGGTGGGTGTCCCTCGACACCAATGTTTTTTTGTTCCGCGAGGATAGCTACGACTCGCGAACCGCGTGTCAAGTCCGGTGTCGACCGCGAGGGTCGACAGCGAGTGTCGATCGACACCAGTGGTGGGTGTCGATCGACACCGTTAGTCAGAAGCGTTTCTTTGTTGTCTTTTAGTGGCTGTTTGGTTCTTTTCCTTGAATGATGGTTGAATGTGCTTGTGTGTATAGCCAGTAGTGGGATGATTACCTCACTAAGTATTTATGAAATACTTATGCATCTTTTTCTTTGATGCATGTAAAGCTAAAGTGTGATCCGTGGAATCATGGCGAGGAGAGAAGGATGATCTAGGCGCTTATTGGTGTTTTAGATTATCGTTGGATTTATTAGGGTGTTAGAATGAAATCTAGAAGCATGTTAGGATGGTCATGTTTTATAATAAGTTTGGTTGAACTTGGTGATTTAATGGAATTGTTTTATTGGATCTTTTGGTTAAGTCTACCGCTGTTATTGTTGATCGTTTGAAGTTAATCAGATTAGTTGGTGTGAGTTTAACGGATTAATCTGGTTTGCATGTTTAAAAAAAAATGGGATGTGTTCTTGTATTCAGGTCCTAAATTATTTATATGTTTATATATTTCAAGCTTTTTTGGTTTGGATTCGGTTTCGGGTATAAGAGTTCGGGTTCGTATTTAAATATATTTTTTTGAATCGGTTCTAGTTCGGGTTTTCGGTTTCCGTTTTTTACCCAGGCCTAATTAGGAGCATATATATTCAATCAAAACTATTATCGGACTCTACAAAGAATACAAATTTACAAACTATCACTGAGTTGTCTTTCCAAAAGAAAACAATTAACGTTCACACCAAATACATTCCCACATCTCCTTGGTTAGATTTGTCTAAAGTTTCTTTTTGTTTAGAATCAAATGCGGTTTTAATAATAGATACAAGCACACTTAAGCTCATATTAAGTTTATCCGTCGTTGGATACCAAGATTTTGTTATATAACTGAACAGTCTAAGAGGGGATGATTCTATCTAAGGAGAGAAACCAAAAAAAAAGAAGGAAGAAGCATATCCTCAACATTCTAATTGGTTGCAGCAGAAGCCATGGCTAAGGTGTACTTGTGTTTCAGGTAAGCTTTGATAAAAGGGTCCAAGTCACCATCCATTACAGATGTGATATCAGAAGTTTCATGACCTGTTCGGACATCCTTAACCAGTTTATACGGATGAAACACGTAGTTCCTGATCTGCTGTCCCCATTCAGCTTTCACTGCATCTCCTCTTATTTCCTTGATCTCAGTCGCGCGTTGCTCCTCCGCAATCACCAACAGTTTCGCCTTTAGTCTGATCAGAGCTCTCGTCTTGTTTGCCAGTTGACTTCTCTCCTCTGCAACATACAACATGGAAAGGATCTTAGTCAACTACCATAGTCAGTTTTGATACTTTGTTAACACAAAACAACATGCAGACAGCAATTGATCTTACTGGACATTCGCGGGAATGAAAGACAAACCTGTGCAACGGACAGCAACACCAGTAGGGATGTGAGTAATCCGAACAGCAGTTTCAACTTTGTTAACATTCTGTCCTCCTTTTCCACCAGCCCTGGTGAAACTAATGTCAAGATCCTCCTCTGGTATTTCGATTCCCACTGCTTCCTCAGGTAAAAGCGGCATCACTTCCACACCAGAAAAGCTCGTCTACGTTCAAAACACCATATAATTTTCTTTTAAAAGCTCATAGACCTTAACACTCAGCACTATTGAGTTGGCTTATCTTATTCTTACCTGTCGTAGGCCTTTCGAATTAAATGGCGATTGTCGAACAATCCTATGAGTTCCTTTCTCCCCTGAAATGTAACCATATGCATAACGCCCTTCGATTTCAAGAGTCGCTGACTTAATCCCTGCTTCCTCTCCATTAGACATTTCAACAACTTTGATCTTGTACCTCTGCTTCTCTCCCCATCTCATATACATCCTAAGCAACATATCCGCCCAATCCTGCACTGGAAGTTATCAAATTTTTTTACATGAACTCCATTAACATCACATAACATACAAACACTATATGATTATTTCATCTGATTCCAATTTGCTAAGACCTCTAGATTAAGTATAAAAAAGCGGAATTGCGTAAAAAGTAATAACCTGAGCATCAGTTCCTCCAGCACCAGCTGTAATGTAGACTACAGCACCTTCTTTATCATAAGGTCCTGATAGAAGCTGAGTTAACTCGAACCGATCTAGAGATTTATTCAACTCTTTAATAATTCCCATTGCTTCTTCAAGTAAACTAACATCAGTAGAGTCCATCTCTTCTGTTAATTTAACAATCGTTTCCGCATCTTCAACCTGTCCAAAATCCACGCAATCCAACATCATAAACATAAACTTGAATAATGTAAAAACCAATCCATAAAAGAGAGCAAACATTACCATGGATTTGAACTCAGAAAGCAACCGCATACGATCTTTAAGATCGTTCAAAGACGAAAGCGTTTCTTGAGCTTTAACACGATCATCCCAAAAAGAAGTATCAGTAGCTTTTGATTCCAAATTAGCAATCTCTTGTTCTAGTTGTGTTAAACCAGCAGAGTCTCTAATCTCTTCAACACGAGCTGATGCTATTTCAACATCTTTCCTCAATGTATAAAAATCTATCAATAATAAACATAAAACACACACAGAAATCAAAATCAAAACCAACACAACACAAGTAAGAACAATTTCAAATACAAATCGCAGATTCACGTACCTTGCATCACCCACTCACTAGTTTCACTTTCATTTGATACACTTAAGTTACTCTCCTGTGCAGCAAATACTACTGAAAACAAAATTATAATATGAATTTGAATTCTAAGCTTGAGATTGCAGCGAGAGAGAGAGAGAGAGGTGAACTTACTGGGGGAAGTGAGACGAGAAGATGAAGACGAAGAAGAGAATTGTGGGAGAGAGAGCGGGAGGGAGAGACGGAGAAGAGGGAGAGTCGTTGGACGGAGAAGTAGTAGATTAGGTTTTCCGGCGATGGCGAAACTCCGACCGGTGAGAGGTCCGAGAACGCAGAGCTCCATGGACATATTGTTCTGTCTGCTCCTTATTTCTTCTGACCTTTGTCAAGTTTATCCATACGAAGCTACCAGCCACGTCACCGATTTAAATTATATGATTTTTTTTATTTTGTTTTGGTCAACAGTTGTATATGAGTAATTTTTTTTAAAGCAATTTTATTAGAGAAATTTAAAATATTAGTTGAACAATTTTGATTGGTGCACAAAAAAAAAAAAAAATTTGAACAATTTTGATTAAGTGAATCGTTTAATCAGCGATTTGGCTTAAACTCCCGCAACCGCAACCACGACAGCTACGTTTAAACCTGTCAGACAATAGTTAGTCTCGGATTCGGATAGGAATTGATCGAGTTCAAGTTTACTGGGTATAAGAATGTAGGATTAAATTAAGATAAATGTAAAAATTTGGTTTGGTTTGGTCTGGATTCTTTTGGATTTGGATTGGGTTGAATATAAATTTTCAGACCCGTAAAATATCTGAATATTTTCGGGTTACAAATATCTGAATATCTAGAAATATTTAATTTGGACAAATATCTAGGTTTTCGGGTAATACCCAGATTATCTAGGTTTTTTTTCATATTCATATGTTATAATCTTATATTTTTAGTTAATCATTTGTGTGGCGTTGTTGCTATATGCATTACTCGTATTTCAATTAATATTTTTGGTTTTGTATGGACGCATGTATTAATATTGTTAGATTAAAAACTTTAACTGAAAAGGAAAGTATGACAATAAACCATTTGTTACTCTTTTATTTTGTTTTTTCCTATTTTTTTGTTGTCATATTTTTAAATTTGACTAAAAATTAATTTATTAAAGCTAGAGCGTGCTCTGTTTGTTAGGTCGTTTTTATCTACTTGAATTTGAATCTTATCAATAGAGAATCTAGAATTTTTAAATATTAACCCATAGCATAGTATTTTTTTGCTAAAATGTTTTGCAATTGAGATGCACTTATGACATGTCTTTCCAAGCTCATATAATGCATGCAAATTTCTTTTTGTTTGATTTAAGAGTGGATCTAAATTTTAGATAGTTTGCTTTTTTTTTTAATTTCATTTTACTCGATGGGATCCAATATTTCTATTTTTTCGTTTACTTTGCATAAACCGTATTTAATCGGACGATGTCACTGTAATCAACGAATTAACTTGGACGGGATATTCAAGCATGAAGAGAGCTCATTCAAGCAGGAAGACTGAAGAGAGCTCAATCAAGCAAAGCAGGATACCTACACCATTGTCGATTTGCTTGTATCCTTTGTCGTAGGCATTATGCTTTCTTTCGTCTTCACCATATTTCGATATGGCGGTCCTCCAAGATAGATTTTAAAATTTGAGTTTGAGTTACATCTTTTAATATGAAAAATTTGAGATTTTAATGTATTTCAACTTTTTATTTCCTCGTTTTTGGTAAATCACATTTTTTAGAATGTTGGACTTCGTACGTGAGAAGAGAAAACAATAATAAAAGGGAGATTATAAATAGTATTTATGGAGCAGGTTTTGGTGGTAGTAAAAACTAATATAAAACATATACATTGTGTCAAAAATATTAGCCTTTTAGTATGGAGAGTTTATATATTGTTTTAGAACTCATAAGATTAATATACCAATTGGTTACATAATACTATACATGTTTGCAAACTCTTGGATAGCCATGATTTTGTGGTCAAAATGGTTTAGACAAAATAAAGGATAATACCTACAGAAAAGGATTAAAAAAAACTCGAAAATGATGTCAATTTGCTCCTTTTCTCTACAAGGTTCTATTTTGACCACAAATCATGGCTATCCAAGAGTTTGCTATTGCTAATATATACAAGTTGTACTAGCCATTTTCTCTACAAGGTGGAAATAGAAAACGCACCGGACATTACGGAGCCGGTAAGCGTTGTCGTTAATATTTCAACGTAAAAATATTATTAGTTTACTTGAGCAATTTGCTCAAGGATTATATTACACTTAGTTATTTTTTAAATCTAGTCTATTTTGGAATAAAGAATGACCAAATTTTGTCCAAATTTGAATTTGGTCATTCTTTGTTCCAAAATTAATGAATGATGTCCATTATTAGGGTGTACTAATCATTATTTGGAATGTCAACACATCCGAGTTTGAATTTAGTCATTCTTTGACATCCAAAAAATTAAGATATGATTTATTGGTATATGAAATTTCATTGATATTCTTGAATATATATAAATGTTTTTTCACTTTTTCTAGTGCAAAAAAACTTGAAAATTATAGAGCATTATATTCCATCTTCTATAAACGTAAAATAATCAATTGGTATATTAATCTTATGAGTTCTAAAACAATATATAAGCTCATGCTCAATATATGTTAATAATTAGGTTGTTATTGCCACCAATTGTGTATTCAACATCTTTTCAAAAGCTGTTGATGCTAGCCTTGGTTGTGATTACAAGTTCGAACAGGAACACTTCAATTTTTTTTTTATTGGAATTTAAAAGTTTTTCTAAATAAGTTTATAATATTTGATTGCTTGTTGTTGTATGGTCGTGTTTGTGGAGCGATAGATCTGCAGGGGACTACATCTGTTTTGTTCTAACAATGCTTTGAGGGCTTTAAGTGCCTCATTGCGGGCAGGCTGGAACCGAAGATTGTTGTCAACAAGTTTAGTGTAGGTATTGTAGAAGGATGTGAGTAAATGTACTGTTGTTAGGATATGAGTAATTGTGATAAAAACATAAGAAATCGGAATTGTTTTCAGAATGTTTGAAAGAAGAAGAAAAAAATGACCAAATGATGCTACTCATTGGAAATATTTGTTTATAATAACTAATGAGTACTACTTTTTTGACAGAGATTTGTTTACAACAATATGAGCAGTACTTTAATCATAAATGAAACAGTGTAACACATTATTTCAAAATTAAGAACATCATGAAGTAATAGATAAGACATTATGGTTTGTTGATTGTATTTATAAATTTGTAAGAATAGTTCCCTAACTTGTTCGAACTCCTCTTTTACTCCTTGACCACCATTATAATTTTCATTAACACATTAAATCATTGAAAATATGAACATTACTAATAAAATTTTAACAATAATTCTTTTAGGATTTTTTAAATTTTATTTATTTAGTTTAATACTTTATTTTCTTACTTTAATTCTTTTCTATTTAAATGATTTTTCTATTAATTATGAGTACATAAATATGCATTAAATAAATATTTAAATATACTTTATTTTTTATAAAAAAAATTAATGAGATGGATGCTGATGTGGATAGCCTAGATGGAGAGAGAGAACTCTCCTATTATACTAGTATAGTACCCGTCCGATGGACGGTATCTTTATTTAAAATTAAAATTTATTATAACTTATAAAAAAATAATTTCTAAATTTTTTTTTTGAAAAAATAAGAGAAATTAATTTCATTTGGAAAGAGATTTTATTTGGTTTGAAGTATCAAATAAACGTGTATATATATATATTTCTCAAAATTCGTTATTAAACGTTAATTATAAAAATCTAGTAATGTCAAACTGACAATCACCAAAACATTTGGGAGCTATTTGGGAGCTATTCACCATTACTCATAATATTGCTAAAATATTTTAAAAAATCTTAATTTAGCAATTATCCTCTAAAACATGATTATACCATTATGTAAAAATTGTGTTTTCTTAACTTTCAATTTTTCAAAAAATCATTCTTAGACATTGAAAATTAATTAATTATTATTTAATATGTTGGTAAAGTTCTTTCAAATTAACATCAATCTAAAATATGATGTTAAATACAAATATAGTCATTTGTAAATAAATTCATATAAACAACGCAAATAAACATAAAGATTCTAAAATAAGTTATAGCATCGTTGAGGAAAACATTAAAAAATCTTTCAAATACCAATTATAAAAAACTACATATTTTCTTTAAAATATTTTAAAATTACTATATTACGATTTATATTAAACTTTGTTATCTTTAATTTAAGCTAAAAATATTACTTTCAAAAATCTTTTATTCACCCTTATGTTTTAGACAATGAAATTGCTCAATGGCATAATACATTCATACATAAATTAAAAATTAAACAAATATAACATATTATAAAATAAAAATCATGAATAAAATTATGTATTTAGTTAAACTCAAAATCTAATTTATTTGTAAACTGTAAATCCTAATTCTCCTTTATGAACCAAACTGAGAAATAACCTTGTTTAATTGTAAAACCTAAATCTCACTCCTCTTTAATAAACCCAAACCGATAAATAATCTCGTTTAATTATAAAATCTAAAATATAATGCACATTTATAAACTCAACATATAACCCTTATAATTGTAAAACCTACAACTTGCAAAACCAAAAATTAGGATAATAGTTGAAAGAGAATTTTTGATAAATACCCTTTTTGGTGTACCCTTTTTTAAAAATATCCCTTTTTTTTTATCAACCACACATTTATTTAAATTGAACTCCATGGTTGGTAGCCCAAACTGGAGGAAAGTTGTTTACAAAAGTAACTTCCGAATCAAGAGATCTGGAAGAACGAGCCAGACAATCTGCTTTTGAATTACAAGTACGAGAAATCTTAGTAAAAGAAAACGACGGAAATGATGCACGTAACAGTAGAAAATCGTCTAAGAGGTTGGAGAATGCTGGCCACTCTTGTGGGTCTTGTACCATTGCAATAAGCTCGGCACAATCTGATTCAAAAGTATGACAGTTAATCCTTCTTATAAGAATATTCTCCATATCCCATAATAACGCTTCCAATTCTGAATGGAGAGGTGAGGGACACCCTCTAAGACATTTAGCACCTAGTAGATATGTTTGCTCCTCTCCTCTGAAACACCACCACCCTAGGCCTTAAAACATATTCTCCGACTTCCACGAACCATCGATACAACATCGAACAATTAGCGAAGGGGGAGATACATGTTCTATTGGTTCAGTTACTTCAGTCAAACTAATTTGGGCGCGGTGTACCACTTTTTTAGTTAACTAGATTTAACCCGCGGTA